GGCTCCCTCCGCCGCCGCTCCCGCCGCTGCCGCCGTTGCCCGGGCCCCGCCGCCGTTGCTAGGCGACCGCTGCTGCCGTGGCCGCCTCTGTCACGAGCCCCGTCGCCCGGAGACAGCGCGAGAGGGACGGGGGAGGGGGGCGAGGGGACCCCCAAAACCAACCGGACCTCCCACCATCCCCGCCTGAGCAGGACCCCCCACCAAAACCGCGGAGGTAACGACGAGTGGCGGCTCCACCCAGCAGAGGAGGAGCCCTGGATTCTAATACCCCTCAAAGGTCCGGCGACCTCTCCTGGGCTCCTGCATCCACATCCACAGCCTCAGTACACATCTTCGCAAGGTCCCAAAGACCCCTATGTCCCCTGCACATCCTCCATACCCTTTACACATTCCATGTCCCCCTAAATACCCCAAACGTTCACCAGCTATCAGCTCTTTCACTAAACCCTCTCCCAAAATATATATACCCCTGGACCCCCTCCCAACTCCTACTGAATCCTCAACACAACAACCTCCACATACTATCCCCAACTCCAAACACACACTGGTGCCCCGACCCAAAACACACAGGAGACCCACACCAGAGACCCCAGACTCTGAGGACTTTCTCCTGAGGGTAAGGAGAAAGATGGGGAAATGTGGGCAGAGACACCAATCACGGGACACACGATAAACATGCTCCATGAGCATGTGACCATTCTAGCCTGGACACACAGGTATGCACACGTGCACACAAACACACAAACCTTTCCCAGACATGGACATGACTCACACACACACAGATGTGACAGACATCACACACATTCTCTGTACACACTCCACCACCACCACTACCACCACTACCACCGCCACCCGGCTTTGCCTCACAGAGATGTACTACCCACACACCCCCATGGTCAGAGGTTTCCATGACAATGACACACATCCCTAGCCAGCCACCCACCCACCCAAGGTCCCAGAGATGGGCCCCAAGGGCAGTGAGGCCTGGGCTTATCAGAAGAGGGCTGAAGGGAGCCAAGGGATGAAGACAGGCCACTGGCTCTAAGGAAGAGAAACTAGAAGCCTGGATCCCTGAGGGGAAGGGGAGCTGGTGGAAGAAAGGGGTCATCAGGGTTTGGGGGGATGGAGGACCTAGATCCCTGGTCCTGGAAGGGGAGTGCAGTGATAGGGGGCAGTGACTAGGGGGTTTCCGGGGGCTGAGGGCGTCTCTCTGCACCTTGGCTACAGATCTCTGTTCTCTGCCTTCATCTCCCCTCACTGTTCCCATGGAAACCTTTTAAGCGAACTTCTCAGGAAGACAAAAATCTTTTTTTAAATGACTAAAGAGGGGGGTGGAGGGGGGGCAGAAAGAGGGAGGGAGAGGAAGAGACAGATGGAGAGAGGGAGAGAGTTGGAGACAGACTGAGCAGATAGCTCTACAGACAGACAGAAAGGAGATGAGATGGGGGTCTGATGGAGTTCCACAGGGAGCAGAGGGGAGAGACAGAGGAATCAAGAGGGGTAGAGAAAATAAGAGAAATCGGGGAGGAAAGAGAAAGGGGGTGATAGAACTGCAGAAAATAGAAGCAGTTGACAAGAGAAAAAAAGGGGCAAGAAAAGAGGGAGGGCCCACAGGCCAGAAGGCCTGGAAGAAGAATCAGGAGCGTGGGGGTGGGGCAGAGGTCTGGGGGAGGGCAAGAACTAGGTCATTCTCTCCAAGATCCCAGACCAAGGGCTGGGAGGGGCAGGGGCAGGAACTCGGACAGGAAGCTAAAGATCTAAGGAGACTATTTTTACAAGCACCAGGAAAATAGTCAAACTTCGCTGCTGGAGAGGAAAAAGAGAGCGAAAACAGAGCCAGGACCACTGGAGACTCTCACCCACAGCCCCTGTCCCTCTTCAGATCCCAGAGGAGGGCGCTTCTCTTCCCAGGCTCCCACTAGCAGGAGGTGAGACTTTGTCTCCGCCTCCTCCCACCCCCTGACAGCTCCCTCGGGTCCCCGACTCCCCCTCCCTGCAGCCCGGTCCACCTTCAGCCCTCTCCCCGTCACTGTCCGGGGCACGAGAGCCTGCTCGGCCGCCGTACCATGCTCGCCGTGGGGCCGCC